GCCTCGGGGTCCGCCCGGCCTCGGGTCCCAGCGCGGCAGGAGGAGCGGTGCCAAGGCCACCCGGCGTGGGCGTGCGGCTGTCCTTTGCGGAGCGCAGTCCGGGTCGGGGTCCGGGTTCGAGTCCGGGTCCGGGTCCAGGTTCGGTCCGGGGCCGAGTCCCGGGGTCCGCACCCGCGGGGCTCGCTCACGCCCCCGCCCAGACCCGCAGACGTGCCGAAACGGCCCGGCTCGCACCTCCCATGCCTTCGCAAGAACGCGTTTCTTGGTTGGCTTTTACAAAATTTAAAAAAAATTAAATGAGTATCAAGTGAGTTCGGGTGGAGGAATAATTCCTAGACCCAGAAGAGAAACAACAGCAAAACTCTGTGTGTGTGAGTGTGTGTGTGAGTGTGTGTGCGTGTGTGTGAGTGTGTGCGGGGCGTTAGTGAGCAGGGATGGGTGAGGTCAGGGTCAGGAGAGAGCGCAAGGCGTTGTAGCTTTTGGTAAATTCGTACCGAATACTGAAATCAGTCACATGCTTTGATTAAATGAGATCCTAAAGGCAATTTTCCTAAAAATTAAGAACACATTTGAATATAAGTTTGTAAAATTAACCAGTAGTTACAGACGAAAGATACATTCCGCCACGCGTTTGGTACCCTGTGGAGTTATTAATCCAGGTAAATTCCCAGCACTCAGCCATCCACACAGGTGGGTGCGTCTCACACCAACCGCCTATGACTGAGACTCCTAAAAAGTGAAAACATGACATTTTGGGTTAATAATTATTTCAGCAGCATTTCCTAAGCATCCTTTCTATCCTGAGCGACGTGGCTTGTGATTCAGCGCTTCTGGATTCCGTAATAACAGATGGATGGCGAGAGTGTTTACTGCCGCTTCCCTTAACTTCCCCTTCGTAAATACTATATTATTTATGAATCAGAAGAGTTTCAGAGAAGCCTCCTATCTGATTACTGCTTGCTGATGAACGTGCGTCAGAGAAACTTTCAGCCTAATTATACTGGTTTGTCATAAAGAACTGTTACTATTTCCAGGCCTGAATTTGTCAACTGGTCGCACCCTCCGTGCGCAGACCCTGACAGGCAGATGGCAGTGACTCTGTCCCCGGGAGGCAGGTGACCGGGGCTGGACTGCGCTGGGGCAGTAAGCGGACCGAGAGTCAAAAGCGTTCTGCAGACTGTGTTCATATGCCAGATACTTTAAGATACATTTAAAATGTGCCTTAGAAAATTTTGGAAGTCACTTTGGTGTTAGCTGGTTTATATTTACCTTTGTGGAAACCCGATATCTACTTTTGTATAGCAACCTAGTAAATGGACTTTATAGACATTTTTGGTTACCAATTGCGACATTTATAATTGTTGGTGTGAGTGTCTTGTAGGAATAAATGTGGAAAAAGAATGACACTAACATGTACCTCTTTAAGGTTTATTTGATCCGGCCTGATTTTACAGTTTACTCCAGCAATACAAACAACTTTCTTCTGTCTCTCCCTCTCTCTCTCTCTGTCTCTCTCTCTCTCTCAAGTAGGCACAAAGATAGCCATGCAGATGGGCTTTTAATTAGGCACAGGAAAAGACAAGACACAATCAAAGCAAACCAAACAGAAGTCCCCACTGAAATCAGCCTTGTGCGGGACGCTGGCCCCCGGGTTCACCCTCTCTGCTCGGGAATGAGGAGAATGCCACCATGATTCATTTACCCTCACTCAGATTCCAGACATGGCTACAAAGACGTGTTGTCAGGTGCAATTGTTTCGGGGCTGAATCTGAGCTAGTTGTGTCTGTGTTTGTGTGAGACGGGGCTGGTCATGTCATCAAAGCTATAATGGTCGTGCCCTTCTGTGAGCTGGCCTGTCCTCACCCTGCCCCAGATACTGTCTCCCCGCTGGGGGACCCCAGCCGCAGGGACCTTGGGTGCCCAGCCTAGCCAGGTGGAGTGGGTGAGAGACGCTGCCACAGTTTCCTTTCCTTTGTGGAATACAAGCATCTGGAAAACAGAATTCCAGCAGCCTTAGCCCACAGCAAATGGGTGGAAATGACCCAAGAGTGCAGGTAACAGGCAGGGCTGGAAGGGACGGAGAACTCTTTCACCAAAACCCCGATTCTATTGTGATTTTTCCCCACTCAAACCATGTGCTTTTATCACTTGCTAGTAATTCTCTATCCAGGATCGGTAGCCACGGTAAAGAACGCTGACGGTATACATCCCTTCTCTTTCCCAGCCACTGCTTCATAGTTTTAGAGTAACGTGGGTCTGCAGGCAGAATAAAGAAATCAACACTTTGGATGAAAATGTGTTTAAAACAATTCTAAACAAACGCGAAAACAAAACCGGGACATTCTTTCTCAGAAAAGGGTTTTTTTTTTTTTACTCCCAAAGTAGAAGAAAGTTTCAAAGCTTAAGCTTTTAGGTATGGTTGCAGTTTAATTACCACTTTTCTTTTAAACATTGCTATATTTTGGACATTTGCTACTTCAAATGTATTTATGAAAACTAATAAACTTTAGATTAAAATCTAGCAAATACCCATGTATATTCTGATGCTCAGCATCAGCTTCTAAATGGAGATTACTACTATTTCCACACATAAATAATTTTATAGTACTCATACACTGGCTTTAATAAGACTTTCACAATATACCTAATTTTATGTAAATGTTATTCAGATTTCAATCCAAGAGTTTTGTAGAAGAGGTTAAAGGGTGTTTATCCTGATTCATTAAAATGTACCATTAAAATTAAGCAGTGACAAATATTATGACTTTTTAAATTGTTCTAAATGGCTGTATTTGTTTATAAGGTTTGTGTTGATGTGCAATATTTTAACTCTTTAAATGTAACCTAATTTGATGAATTGTTCAAACAGGAGCTGTGATCAGGAAACAGATCTAGTCATCTCACAAATTCAACATTAGCGTGTATTCTTAGTGATCCCCTCTTTGGAGTATTCAGTGAAATAAAATGCTGCATGTCATAGTTAAAAATTAATGGAGTGAACATACAAAAAGAAAGTTAGATATTTTATTTTCTAAAATACTACTCGGTATGTAATAATCCTGATGATTTGTGCTTTTTAAAAGATATTTTTTGTGTTCACAATTTTAGTATTTAAGGAGGCCATATATTTATTTAGAATAACTATGGTAAGAATAAATGCTCATTTAGAATAATTGTAGTAAGAATAAATGCAAATTGACAAAGAATATTTCATCAGTTTGTTTAAAAATACTTTTGAAAATGATATTTTAAGGAGGACAGCAAAGAGCTCAGAAATTCTCTCTGTCAGCACAGAACTATTATATTCCTACATGTTACTTATTTAAAGTAATCAGCAAAGATAGATTATAGATAAGGCAGAGCTCTAAATGAAACCTTAACCGAAAATTCAAAAGTGCATTTCAGAATCAAGTATTAATAGAATAAACTTAATTTTAGTTTCTCATAAGTGCAGCTGCATTTTCTATTTAATTACGGGTTTTCAACAGTAGTAATTTTTCCTTGACCTACTCAATCTCAAAAGTCAGAAAATTGCTTCTTTTTAAAAACTGACAATGGCACGGTATGTTTCCAAAGGAAAAAAAGACAAATTACAGAAAACCATTAGTTTAAGCATATTTAAAATAGCCAGGAAGAAGTTCTAATAGAAAACTTGGTGAAATAGGAGTGAAAGTTATGTGTTGTTTTTATTTCATGGGGTAACATGGATGTGAAGATATTATATTATTTGCTTTTTTTCTCCTAAAAGTAAAATTAAAATGTGCTGAATAATTATAAAAAGCCCAGTGCACAAAGATGCATTGTCTCTTACTCACTGGTAAAAGCATTTATTTTCATGGTTGTAAATTTGTAAATTTTACACATCCCATCTGTAGCTTGTGTAGAAGGTGAATAGAAAAAAATGTTTTAAAAGTGAAAAATTTAGCTTTGAAGACTTGAGAAATCAGATAGTTAGATAAGGGAATGGCAGAGCCGTGGCCTTTGAAAACACAGTGAGATCAAAGTCAGAATTTCCAGACAAATGGAGAGAAAAAAATATTTTGTCCTAAAATTGTTAAATGATAGTGACGTGTAAACATGTTTTGCAGAATGAAAAGCAAAATAATCTTCCTGATTTAACAAAGTGGGCTTCTTGACCACGGAGGAGAAGGGATGGGCTTTTTTGTTTATTTGATAAAGGTTTTATAGAATATGCTATTATGGAACTGTTAGCTGGCCTCCCTTGTGGTCTGTGACTGATTTGTGAGTTAGGCTTCTGATCACTGACTGATTACAGAAAGAAAAATTTAATTGTCAGTGGATAATTATTCACTATTTGATTTTCTTTTATCAGGCTCAAAAACTTTTTTGTGTGTATTACGATTTCTCCTGATTCTTAGAGGGATATCAGAGCATATTTCCTGGAAGTGAGTTAAACCTGGCAGGATAGCCTGTCTAAATCTTGGTTATTAATAATCTTCTTTTCATCATTTGTGGGCCCGGTACAAATGGTGTCTTCACTCCTGAGGCATGGTTTCAGTGCTCGGGTTAATCAAAAGGGCCAGGTGACAGGCTGTGAGCCACGGGCACTGCCCGGCTCCACTGCGAATGGTCCACCCAGCCAGGAAGTCAAGGGAAGGTTTGTAATGGAAATCAGGGTGGCTGAGACACTGAGCGCTTTGATCTCCGCTAATTTTGATAGAGTTGATATCCATCGAATGACCCAGAACCTCTTTCCAAGTGCAAAAACCCAGGTTGCCTGGAAGTTGGAGGCTCAGATTACTGTAAACTCCACGGGATACCACTGACAGGGAGCTTAATCTGCCTCCCCCAGTCCAAAGTGGGTGTTCCATTTTGTAACGTACTTAGTGAAGCATCTCTCTTACAGTCGGCTGCTGCTTGTGCCCATGACTTGTGCTCGTGGCCCCAGGAAGGCGGCAGTCGGGTCCTCAACAGCTCCTTCAGGGGCTCTGAATTCAAACAAACCCTTGTGGTGCGAAAGAAGGGGCTTCAGAGGCTGAGGAGGGGTCGGGACTCAGTCAGACGGCAGGGGCGAGCCTTTGAAAGGCAGTTACGGCCTCATTCCTGGGATTAAAAACTCACATAAAAAGAGTTCTCTGGAGTAAAAGGGACCATGAAAAGCTAAGTGAAAAATAAATACACATTTACACCCAAATTCTTGTAAATTATCAACCCGTTAGAGGCTGACCGACGTGTCACAGGGACCACAAAGGTTTGTACCAGGGGATGACAATGTGCTGTATTGTTCCCCTCAACAGTTGAGCCATAAAACAAATGCATAATAATTTCAGGCGCTCTTTTATGGTGTCAGAATTTCGTACAGGAAGTCCTCCCAAAGTGAAGTAACTACAGATTTAACCAGATAATGTTTACCTCTTTACTTATTGAAGTATAACGAAGTTAAAGGTAAGAAGAAACCGTCTGTCTCCCAGCTGGGGATGGGGATGCATTTTAAGGGGCAGGAGAGGAAGGTGTAGGTCCTCCCAAGCTCTCTGTGTCCTAGTGTGGCTCACAGAGAGGAAGGCGACCTCTGGGCCCTGGGTGCCCCCCGTCTGGTGAAAATGCCCTTTGACTTTGCTTTTCCATTTTTCCCTTAACTGGTGCTTTATTACCGAACGCAGCGTATGCTCAGGATGGGAGGATGCTGCAGACAAGTGTTCTGGGAGGCGAGGGAGTCAGCAAAGGGTCATCTGGAAAAGCAACGGGGTGCAGTGGCTTGGCTGGGATGGAGCCCGGGCTGTCACCATGAACACAGGGCACCTGGAGGAGCAGCAGGCACTGCACTCCCGGACTCCAAGTAAGTGACCTGCTCCCTGCCTTTGCCCCCAGAAAGGAGGCCAAAGAGACGGAGGAGGAGAGGAAAGCGTGCAGGGAGGGCATCTGTCTGGGTGGGGGAAACCTGTCGGGGGTCCCCTGGGAGCAAGGGCTTCTCCGTCTCCTGCATCCTATGATCTACAACCCCTGAAACTGTACCAGCGCCCTGTTAACACAGGGGCACCGAGGTCAGAGCACAGGGAGGTCAGGGTACGAGGCAGTGCGGCTCCGAGTTTAGGCCGGGCTGTAGGAGCCCGCCTGAGGACGAGGCTGGAAGGTGGAGGGGAAGTGGGGCGAGGAGAAGAGGACCAGGTGAGCAGGCAGGGCCCTGGCCCTCCGAGCCTTGGGATTACGTGTGAATCACCACGGCTTAGCCCTTCCTAGCAGTGACTCCACCGCTCCACCTTTGTTCTCTTTAAAATGAAGTCCTCTGTCCAAGGAATCCTTTCCAACTGCAAAGCCTCAGGCCTGCCTGGAAGGCGTCAGCGGGGGGAAGTTTGTGCTGGCCTCTGCAGCTCCCGCTCTGACCTCCGAAGACCTGTGGCTCCCACATCGGCCCCTGGACCCAGGGCAGCCACACGCGAGTGGACCCTAGGCACGCTGGCAGGTTGGTGTGGCTGAGGGCGGCTTAGCAGCTTAGCTCAGACCCTGCCCCGGGGAAGGCTGGTCACAGCCAGGCCAGCAGCTGGACCAAGTTTGGGGTCATCGTTGCCATGTCTGATAGAGGCACAGCAGGAGCGAGAGGCCACAGCTTCACAGTCAGCAGGCCAGGGCCTTCGCCTGCAGCGTGGGGACTGCAAACAGGTCTGGGCTTCTCTAGACTGTCGACTGGCATCAGGAGGGTGGTTAGCAGCCAGCCTCAGGCGCTACTCCTGAAGGGTGTACTCTCAGAACTGAAGCCCACTACTTTTAGGAATAGCTCTCACCGCTGTAGTATTGGTATTAGGTTAGCATCCCTCTTGATATAGTAGGGTCACAGACGCTTCTTACGAGAAGGATCAGAACTTGGGGTTAATCTCTGGGCCGGGAGGAGTACTCTGTTTCGGATTATGTACTTTATTTAAACTCCATCCTGGTTGAAAACCCAGGGGCAGATGCTACTCCCCTCTGCTTCCTCTCCAGCCCTGTCCCATCCCTGTCCTGAGGTTCCTGTCCGCCCTCGGCCAAGGGCAAGGCTTTGCCCCTTGGCTGCAGTGTCTGGGGTGATGGTTCGCTGCCCCCTCTGTCCAGGTACTCTCTTTAATTGTCACCTTAGACCCCTCGGCCATCCTGACACGCATCTGTAATTGTCTGCACCTTTGTCGGTTGGAGTCCAGAACATATTTTATTGTAACACTTCTTTTTAAAACAGGCACTGGGATTCACTTCATGGGAGGGAAGAAAAGGATATAATATGTTGGATGTCAAATGTTTGTAAATTGGGTCTCACCTTTCCTGTTTGGAGTATAATGTAAAGAAACTCTTTATCAAATGTTTTCCTGCAGAGTAAAACATTCCCGAATAGTAAGCTTTTATGTTTTTCTCTCAGACCCATCATCCTTCCCCTTGGATTGCTGAATCTCAGCCCACAGGGATGTGTGCAGAAGGACAGCGGCATCATCTGTTGTCACCTTCAAGCCAAGCTGCTTGGTTCTCGGCACATGAAATTTTGTAATGTGTGACACCTTGTTATCAGGTATAGTAGCTTCATTGAGTTTTCACATATTTTATACATTAGCCTCATTTTTTATTAAAAATCATGATGTGAAGAGCAGTTTTATTTTTTATATTATCCAAATATTTGTAGAACAATCAGAATGTAAAAAGGATAAATTTTTAAAAAAATTTCTCAGTGAGTCATAGTGGGTTCACAAGCTAACCTGTCTCACAGGTCACATTAACCATGGAAATGTGGCTTCAGAGGCTGCATACAATGGATCCTTCCCAAATAGTAAAACTGTCATTCGAAAAATAATAAAACACTTTTAGCGGCATGAACCATTTCTGGTTTTCTTTACTTGGTGAAGCTACTGCTGTAAAGTCCAAGCTGCTTTGTTTATACTGAGATCATATTTACCGTTCCTGAGATGAACTTTTAAGAAATCTGTAAAAGCTGGCTAAAAATAGCCGTATATATATATTTTTTTGAAATTTCGTGAATATCCTGTGGTATTTGTGCGCATGGTAAGTTTTTATAAGTGTAAAAGCAAGACATTGTAGCATTTCTGGACTCTATTCCTGATTTGCAGGTTAGCTTCTTTTTGTGGACAGAAAAAGCACTGACAGAATTTAGAGTGGGGATTCTTGGAGGCTGAGAGAGTGGAGAACTGGGACCTTGGACGAGGGATGATATTAAAATTGCTGTTCTCGTTTTGGTGATGGACATCACCTTTTATGAAATTTGATACACCCCATTGTTTTCTGTGGCATTAGATGCAGGCGATAAGGAGAAAATGTTCCTCGAAATAAACTTCAAAGCTCGGTTCCTTCTCCCTCGGTGATAAAGCGACTCTAGGGAGAGAGAGAAGTGGTCCAGAGACCTCTCGCTGTGAAGCTTCTCAACATATTGCTGCCTGTTATATTGTACCGAACACATGCACTTCTGTTTAGTAATATTTTGGGGAGCTGAGATTTGGGGAAGGAAAGACTGCAGCATTTTTTCAAGTAATTCTAAAGTTTTAAGGGGTTATTTATTTATTGGTACAGTGATGAGCATGCATCATTTGTAATAACATTTTCAGTTTAGCATTCCTTTTTTATTTAACTCTGATTTTTAGACCTTCGGGTTTTTCTTTGCTTTAGCTTGGGAACACCAAATAAGTGCAAGTTTCCTCCAAGACACCTCATGAAAACATTTTTTTAAATAAAATCAAGAGTGAAATGAGTCTATATTTATTTGGAAGATCATCTGACTACTGCTAAATGGAGTATCTCAATCTGAAAGTGAAATCTGTTTCACTGCTAAAAATTGCCAAGAGTTTTTTGACTGAGATTTGGGAATCTGCAGAAAATGTAAAAGTTTTTTTTTTTTCTACAATAATCTGTTCAGTGAACAAGCTGTGAAAAATAGTTCTGGATTTTGTGCATGTGACGCAGCAGACGGTAAATTTCCATTTTAAAGAACGATATGAGTAGCTTCTGGCACCCATCTCTATTGCCTTCCTCAAATCTACTTACACTGAGTTACAACAATGCTCTTTATTATTTCTTTAAAGCAGAAAATAACAAGGGCTTCTCCTGCATGGCTGAGCTGTATCCCTCTATCTGGGGTCAGTAATGCGAGGGCACTTTGAAGCCTTATCAAATGTGGCTTAAAATACCACAACTATATTAAGAAGATACCATTTCCCTGCCTTTAATGCTTTGCATTTGAAGAGCTTTAGAAATAATTTACAATTTCTTTGTAAGCATATTATTTGGAGGTAGGTGGTCCCATAATGAACAGTTATTATAAACTGTTCAAGGGTAATTTTTTTAGAAAGGTATAATTATGATTCTCACACAAACATAAAATGAACATGTGTTAAAGATTTTATTTAATTCATTAATTAATGAAGGAAGCTGTAATATGTTACAACCTGCTTAAAGAAGAATTCAAATTCACACTTACACACACATAGGCAGATAAAAAATATAGAGATTACTTTTAAAAAGAGACCCTAACCTGGTCAGTAACTACAGGGCAATTACTGACTGCCTGTGATGGGTCACATCTTTTTGTATTTCCCTGGGCCAGAATAATTTGCATTATTATTAACTTTCTGCAGTTTACAGAGATGTTAAATAATACAAGGTATGGAAGGCACAGGTAGCCTGGGAGGCTGTGCTAGACAAGGACAGTTAACGATCTTCTGGTTTATTACAAAGTCTTTCAAAACTTTCAACTAAATGATCCAATGAAGAGTGCTTTGCACATTTCCTACTCAGATCAATCAGTACTGCTTTCTAGTTCACGTTTCCCTTCTCATCGAGGGCCCGCAGCAGTGTCCGACGTGTGGGAGGGAGTCTGCAAACTGCTGGCTGTTCCCATGTGTCCCGTGGAGCACTTCTCAAGGAGCCCGGGAGAGCACACACGTGGTCTTTTCTCCCAAATCTCAAGAACGTCAGAGAGATCCTGAAAGAACCTTGGGTTGGCCTCCAAGGCCTTGCTGTATACCTTTCTCCAGCCTTTGATCTTTTCACAGCCAATGATGTATCCAAGAAAGCATGAGATAAACATATAATACCAGGAGTCAATCAATGTCCACTGCACTCCTCATTCCCCAGGGCAGGTACACGAACCCTGGAAGGCAAAGTCAGCATCGCACTGGCTGTGGAATGAGTGGCCTCAGAGGGCCAAGAAGTCCTACCTTCCTGAGGACCCGAGTGTACCATGCTGGCTTCTGATTATCCTCAGACTGGCTTCTGACCAGTCCTATTCTGGTCACCCTATGCATTTTGACAATATTAGATTGTCCTGGAATTTATTTTTAGTCAGCCTTAATTTTTCCCAGTGGGGCATGACCTGGGAAACATGGTTCAGGCTCATGAGAGGCCCTGATGTCTGATCAGTCTTTTCTTCTCCTTGGTCTGATACCGGAAGTCCCCCCATTGCTCCTTCCTGCCTCAGACTCCCCAGCTGTACCTGCACCTTCTCTCTCAGATAAAAGATATAGAGATTACTTTTAAAAAGAGACCCTAACCTGGTCAGTAACTACAGGGCAATTATTGACTGCCTTTGATGGGTCACATCTTTTTGTATTTCCCTGGACCAGAAGAATTTGCTTTATTATTAACTTTCTGCAGTTTACAGAGATGTTAAATAATACAAGGTATGGAAGGCACAGGTAGCCTGGGAAGCTGGCTGAATTCTGAATGTTCCACTTCGTTGGGAAGAAAAAGGAGAGGCCAGGATCTTCACTGGGAAATGGCCGTGTGAGGTAAGCGCCGCTCACAGGAGGACCACTCGGAGCACAGCAGAGGCAGGAAGGAGGAGACAGTACATGGTGCAGGTCAGTTTCTGACCCAGATCCTTGGGACTGCCCCCTTCTTGCTGATGTCTCCTATAGCCTCTTACATTTCACAAGGCATTTTTGTGTCTATTATCTCATCTAATCTTTTTCAATAACCCATCAGTTCCTAGCTGTGCAAGATGAATTTTGACTGCAAAATACTTTTCCCTCTCATGGCAGCTTTTTTGTGTGAAACAAATGAGTATAACATAATCTGTCCCCACCAGCTCTGAAAGCTGGGTATTGATCTCCACAGTGTCTGTGTTGTGGTATCCACGTCCTGCAGGAGAACAATAAGCCAAAGAAGACTCTGGGCCCACAGCTGATTCATGCGCTATTTATGGGTGCGGTTTAGAATTTCCTTCCTCCCTGGTTTTGCCATTACCACTGTGAAAATTAGTTCTGTAAACACTGGAAGTCCACTAACTGTCACTTCGTACTTTGCCATACAATATTTTCAGATACAATAAAAACAAATGAGGAAATCTTGGGACCTAAGTTCCCCATTGTTTTCATCTATAACTTTCTGTTAATGCAGTAGGAGCTTAGGAGAGTAGATGGACTTTGCAATAATAATGCAACTTTGAGTGACAAGCCTAAATGAGCTTCTGGTAATTCCCACTGTTAGTAGCTAAAGGGCCTTTGGACAAGTCACTTAGTTTTTAAAGAGAAAAGAATGATTTTTCAGTTTAGAGTTAGTGGAACTGTGAAGATTAGGACGGTAAAGTAGTCTTAGTTAAACGATGTTATTTAAATTTAAATGTGAAGCATTATTACTATCAACAGGAGTTAAGGATATGAGTTATGTTATGATTAAATTTGCTTTTAAAATCTTGAACATGAAAGGCCAAGGAAGTCTGTACTTATATATCATTTTGTGTGCCTGTATATCATTTTGCTGTCTAAGCCAAGAGTGATTTTGCATGGATTTTTATTAAATGAATGAATAAATTTCATTCAAGAGCTCTGAACTGGCTTTATTCTTTCTCGATCAGTAGACAGTTTTGGTGACTTTGGGTGGCTTTGGCTATGGGGAGAAATACATTAGGAACATCCTTACATGGCAATGGACTCAAATTCTTATGTAGTGATTGAACTTCTAGTTTGAAAAATCCTTTATCTCCATGTATTTTATAGCACTTCCCCCCTTTCTTATTCTTCCTGACAATAAATTTTATTTTAGAGTTTGTTTTATAGTGACTTGAACATTTGTCTATTTTTGACTGTCTAGATTCTCTGTCATTTCTTCAGGCTCTTTACTGTCCTCTTAGGGAATTGCATCTCCAGTAGTGCTGCCCCCTAGTTCTCTCCTCTAGCGGGGATTATCAGTAGGGGCCCAGTAGCCGTCTCTTGGGTACATTCAGTCCTGGGCACTAACAAGGCTGGAGCACCACAGAGGCTGTCCAGACAGCAGCAATGGCGGACACGGTGGTTGTCATGGTGGTGGACTCCCGGCCACAGTTTCCAACCATAAGCTGAGTATAATGCTTTCGACTTCCTCTGTCTTGCTCTTGGTGTGTCTTTGGGTCCCCTCTACCTCTATGCCCAATCTCCCAGCTTCGTTTACTTTGTGAGTTCCACGGAAGTCCTCTTAAAGTAGTTGAGTCAGTTTCTGTTGCTTGCACCCAAGAATCCAGACCAAATCTGTGACTTTGTGCTGGAGGGACAGCAAGATAACACAAGAAGGGAACC